GAATGACTAAAGTAAAAAAATTTTAAGAATTTAAATTATTTGAGTAAATTCAATATGATAGCACTCTTAGTTAATAATGTCAATAAAATTTTTGTTTTTATTCTTCTAATCTTCTCTATTCTGAGGTTGATGATCGATGAATTGCTCTTAAAAATAATCTCCTCTTATGTTCTAGAAATTTTGAGCTAATAGAAAGTGTCTTTTACATCTAAGCAATGTACAAAAATTCTGCATGCATAGATAAATATAGTAAGATTAAAACTTTTATGTGGAAATCTAGTAAAGTAAAACACCATATGGCATGGCTAAATTAAAAAAACCACTGTATAGTAGATGACACAAGCATCATCCCTTCTTCGTAGTGGAAGAAAAGTGGGTTATTTAAAAATAAATGTCTGAATTTCCCTGAGGAAGATTACATAAACCAAGTTTCTACATATGGATAGTTAAAAAAAAAATAGTAGTGCTTTATTTCCTCTACAAGGATTACTGAAGTTTGATGTCTACAAATAAATGATTAATATTAAATACTAATGTTAAATCTTATTAGAAATCTAAAGATGATGACAACAATTGGTGGTGTGGTCATCGATGATGGTGGTGTTCATTGGTTGACATAGTTGGTGGTGGTATTATGTGGTGATTACCATAAAATATAAAAAAGATCTCTAGTCCTCTCTCACCTTCCTCCCCTCTCATGTGGAGAAAAAGAGTCCATTTTTAGGCTTTTTGGGATGGACATTTTTGTAATTTTAATTAGAATATAAAATAATCCATTGTATAATACATATTGAATCCTTTAATTATGAAGCACTTATTTTGCATTTAAGTTCCTTAATAATATCAAAATTAAGTGATCTTGGCCACATTAGAATCATCTCATTAAGCTACATGATTCAACTAGAAGCACGTCAAATTTGGGGATTATTTGGTTATCTAATTAATGTTTGAAGTTTCTAATATTGCTTCAATAGTTTGAACAAGTCTCATTTAGGCTTGAATTAGACCACTTTTGGCATTGTTTGATTTGTCCAATTGAGACATTAAGTTCAACTATAAGTTTACTAAAATTGGAGTTCATATGATCCTGAATTTAATTTTAAAAGTTTTCAATTCAAATTTTGCCAAAAGATTCATGTCAATCATACCATTTTTTTTTAAATATATAATTTAGAAATTTTGGGTATAAATACATCTACATAGGGATTGATTATTAGCCATGGAATTTGAAAGTATCACTCACAAGTCTGTATGAAATTACTAGTTCTCTAGAGAGAGGGGAACTAGAGCTTGAAATGGGATATCATGTATGTATGGTCGCAGATTGCCTCTCTTAAGAGAAGAAATGGAGAAGAGAAGGAGAGCAAGAGAAAATCATTCTCTAAAGAGAGAGAGACACTAAAGCTTGAAAGGGGATATCACCTATACAACATAATGGATTGCCTCTCATAAGAGGTGAGTGGAGAAGAGAAGTGTGTGTGTGTGTGTGTGTGTGTGTGTGTGTGTGTGTGTGTGTGTGTGTGCATATTATTAAATTTATATAAAATTAATAAAATATATAAATATACTTAAAAGAAGAAGAAGAAGAATAGAGAGAGAAATCTATTAAATAAAATTTAAAAACAATTCAAAAACAAAATCTATAAAAAAAGGAAATAAAAAAAGTTATATGAAAAAGAAAGAAAAAATCCTGAGAAAATAATAAAAAAACAAGATTTTTGAAATGTAGAAAATATTATTGAGTGTTATAAGTTTTGACATTATGAAATAAGCTGAAGAATGATATATCAATAAAAAATTGGTTTGATTGACTTGATTCTCGAGGCAAAACTTGACTTGAAAGCTTCCATAAGTTAAATTCAGGATCAAATGAATTCTAATTTAAGCATACTTATAGTCGAAATGAACATCTCAATGAGATGAATTTAACAATATTAAAAGTGCTCCAATCCAAGACTAAGTGAGCTGAAATAAAACACTAGAAGCATAACGGAAAACTCCAAACATTAACTGGATGGCTAAGTAATCTTCAAATTCGACATGCTTATAGTCAAATTGAGCGGCTTGATGAGACAATCCCAAAGAGCCCAACATCACTCAATTCGGACACCATTAAGATACCTAAATACTAAATGAATGCTTCATGATCAAGGGAGTTAATATGGATCATATGATAGAGTATTTTGTATTATAGTTCTAATTACCAAAATGTCTACCCCAAATAACTTCTATTTAGAACCTCATTCTCAAAATGAGGGATGGAGAAATGAGAGAACTAGAGAGCTCTCTTAAATGTTCAAGCTATCTTCATCGATGACCATCATAAGCTATTTCCACTAACAACTGCCATCATAATTGAAGATGACCATCAATAAATGCCACCGTCTATAGAATTCTAATAAGATTTAACCGTGTTATTAGTTCTAGTTGTTAGCCTGTGGACACTTCTTTCTATAATCTCTTGGAGAAATCAAGTCTTGTTGCTTAGTATTAATTTTTCATCTATGGAGGACACTTGATTTCTATTAACCTCCATAAGAGAAATTACACATCTTATTCACAAATAGTCATCTTGTTCTTTAACTTTGAGGAAGGAAATATTAATATATATGGATATATATAGTATATTCTTTTCCAGGCTATGCCCCATAGTTTTGTTCCTTTTTGGGGTTTCCATGCAAAAATATTTCTAATCTTACTACTTTTATTTGTACATGCTATATTATGGTATAATGCTTACAACACACACTCTACCAACTCAAATTTTCATTTGAAATCCTAAGTCAATTTCTCTCATGAGAAAAATTTCACTTCTCTCTTGGAAAAACCCTAAGGCACATTCTCTTTTCAAAATCTTTTTGGCATTCACCTAGGAGATTAAGTGCTGATTTTTTTTCAACTTTTTTGACTTTTCAAAGGACTAATGTTGATCAAAGTAAGCTTTATATTTTTCATCTTTGGACATTGAGAAAGAAACTTTTGAATAATCTTTTCTTCATAATTAGTTGAATACAATTTTTTTTTTCAATCTCATTTACAATATCTTTTAAAATCTATTCATGCATTATTGTTAGTTGGTTTGAAAATTTTCTTTCATGCTTTTTAATGTTGATGAAATTATTCACACATTGATAATTCTCATTGTTTACATTTAGCAATCTTGAAATTTTAATCATCATTACAATATTACAAAAATTTTAGTTTTAATTTCTATAAAATATTTTCAAATATTTTTTAAAGAATTTATTGCGAGAAAAATATTATTATTATAAAGCTTCTTTTTCTTTGGGTTGTACTTGCCTATTATAGGGGAGTATAGTTATACCCGCTCTATCATAGAAGAATGCAAAATTATTGTAATATGGTAAGATTATTTAGTTGAATACTAACCAAGGATTAGCTAGGCATAGTCATACGACAATATTGTGATTTGGTTAAATCACATAAAAATATTGTTCCTCTTATCCTTATTTATTTTTCTTCAAATTTATGATTTTTGTTGTGCTTTAATTTCCAATTATCATTTTAACCTAACATAGTTTTCTAAAAAAATAAAATTAATATTTTTATTTTATAAGATAATTTTTATGCCTTTTTAGTGCCATAATAATTCTCAAAGCAATGCAACTATGTGAGGTCTATGAAGAATTATAAAAGTAAATACCAAGATTTATATGATAAATTCTTGAGATTTGAACCTTGATTTCTCTATAGCTAGAGTGCCATGTTGAGAGCACACCAACATAGAGCATAAGAGTTAAAAAAATTTTATTTAAGCCTCCATTCTTTAATAAAAAATCCTATATTTTCTTATTTAAATTAATTTGCTTGCTCCTTTTTTGAATTCCTTATCTTAAATAAACATTATAGGCATTAACAAGTTGTTTGATGCATAGTGTTGCATGGAGAACAGGATGTAGATTGAAGAAATTAGATACATATTATTTTTTTTCTTTTGTAATGTAGTAAATGAAATTGATAGTTATTAAATTTTGAGCTTAACTTGTTATTGTAATCATAAAAGTTCAATAATAATTTTTTTTTATGTAGTGCTAGTGGAAGATAAGATTAGAGAGAGTCGCCTTAGATAGCTTGGTCACATAAAACGGCGGCCTTCCGATGACCCGGTTAGGAAAGTAGAGGTATTAGATTTGACTTATATTAAAAAAGGTAGAGGTAGACCTAAAAAGATCAATTGATTAGAAAATATTAGAAATGATATTTTTTTTATTAGATTAGGGGTGAAAAAGTTAGAAATAATCTTATTTGTCATCCGGAGGCTTTTTATACTATTAGAGACATAAGGAATTTGATGAATTCTATCAATGTTCAGAATTCCTTTATCCATAAGGAGGCTAATGCTTGTGCTATTTGGTTAGCTTGTTTTGGAGCTGGGAAGGCAAATTTTATTGATATTGTAGAAAGCAATGCGCGCTCCTGCTGCTCTTAAAGGTCTTATTCATTTGGATAAAAGCTCTTTCCCTTATCTTAGAATTTAATTGTCTTTTGCTTGCATCTCCCTTTTGGGTTTGGTGTTTCACTGGTCTACTGATTGGTATTGAGCTACTCAGCTTTCTTTCATTTGGGTTATAGGGTGATTTTGCTGTGCTGGTTCATCTGGGAAAGCAGTGTGGGGTGGATCTTTTCCTGGGTTTTGCTGGATATTTTGCGGTTTTGGATTCTCGGCTGGGTGTTGGTATCTGGGTTTCCCTGTATAGTTGGGTTGGATTTGGTATTTCGGTTGGAGGACCTTTTCCTGGACTCGATCAATGCTGGTATTAATTGTTTAAATTGGTTTTTTTGAACTTTATTGGGGTTCTGCAGTCGTCCTTGTTGGTATAAGATGGATAATTGGTTGCTCTTTTAGGTTATTACTTCGCACCTCTTCTATGTGTTGGTTCCTATTTACTGTGATTCCTGGCTATGTAGGTGTGTGTGTGTGGGGGGGGGGATGATGAGCTTTGGCCTAACAATCATGAACTAGATCCAACATTCCTATAGCCCTTCAAATCATAATATTAGCCATTCAACTTATACCGATCACTATCTCAAATTATCTTTCATATCACAATAGTCTTTGCATGCTTTTACATGCAGTATCCATGATACAGATATGTTAATCTGTCATCAAACTTTGACATCATTCGTTGAGCTGTAAATCCCTGATATTTGTTTTGATATCTGGCAACACAAAGTCCAGTTATGTTCTTCAGCAATTTATCTTCCTGCTGAAATGGCTGGTTTGAGAACTCTTCAAGAGCCATCCACTGCAACAAATACAGTACTATTTCTTATAATACTTGGCTTTAAAAAACAAAATGAAGTGTTCTTCAGTTGATAATTTACCTTTGCATCTTGGATTTCAGACTCATCAATGCTGATCTTGAATGTTAATGGCTTGAGCATGCACACGAAGAAGAGGTCGGATTTGTCGAAAGCAACTTGGTGGGCATGCCTGTTTATAAAAAGAGTTTAATGAATTTGTTAATCTCTGCTTATTGCAGAAAGAAAATTTTTTCTCACCTGAAGGCTACCACTTCCAGAAATGCAGTTTCTATCTGAAATGAAAGAAATTTGTTTTTCGTTATTAGGAAATCTTGTGTGAATGTTGAGCAAATTCCTGTGCTATTTATGAAAAAAAAAAGATTTAGAATGAACTGTACCCCAGTTTCTTCTTTCACTTCCCTCACAACTCCAGAGAATATTTCTTCAGACTGATAAATGAAATTAATTAGCAAATGAGTTCAAGGAGAAAAGAAAGATTAAGATAGTCATTCATGAGCTGAAACCAATATGAATAATAACCTTATTTATGAGACCAGTGGGCAACTTCCACATTCCTGAGCATCTTAGAGGGCATTTCTTCTCTTTCACAACAAGCACCTAAGCATAATGAAATAGTTACAGATTACCGAGGCTTAGAAACATATTTTGGTCACTAGAATTTTAGCTATGACCGCACAATTTTGTTTGTAAATTGTGACTAAGTATCAGATTAAGGTTTCATTTGGGACGACTTTTTTGCTGCTTCTTAAAGCAACTTTCTAATAAAAAATTAAAATTTTTATACTAAAAAACTGTTTTAAGAAACAATAAGATAGCTATCCCAAACGAAGCCTCTAAGTTTCATTTTATTTCTAATACAAATCTTTAGTCACAACTTTTGCTAAATTATAACTACTACTGGTGCAATTAAAAGCTCTTGCATGCTTTCTCTTTAACCCCTTCTTTTTCTTTAGAAACATATTTGGATGAATTGAAACTGTGATAATTGCTCATTTAACTTTATGTTTTAAGCTTCGTTTGGGATAGCTTTTACTGTTGCTTAAAGAAGCTTTCTAGTATAAAAATTAAAATTTTTATACTAAAAAGTTGCTTTAAGAAGTAGTAAGAAAGCCGTCCCAAACAAAGCCTTAATCACACACTTTAAAAAGGTTTGGCATCTACCTTTAACATATCAATTAATCTTTTCATTATGTTAATTGAAGTTATCAGCTTACTAATAAAGTCTATAAACATATTAACAATCATCAAGATTATACTAATAAAATCGTCAGTGTAGTAAAGAAGACTGTCACATAACCGGCCAATACATCAAGCTGTCATACGTAAGATAGCATTTCTTTTTTCTTTAAGAAAAACAGCACTAACAATTTCTTTTAGTCGCTATAATCATAATTCAAAAAGTTTGGCTAAAAGATAAAAGATATGAATAAAGGTTGGATTTGCTCATTGTTGGGGGAAGCTTCTACTTTATTTAACTGAAATAATATTCTTTAATTCACATATAAATTTCGTGAATCTTCTTCATAACAAACATAGCTCAAAATTTAAACAGGAAATTATTAACAATATTACCTCTTTACTTTCATTGATCACAAACCCTCCCACACCAATTTGATGCGTAGCAGTAGAAGGGAGAAAACAAGGCTCTTCTGGAATCCAATATGTTAGCATAACATAACCTGGTTCTGCATGGTGATAGCTGAATCCTTGCTGAAAGAAGTTTTTTTTCCAAAGAACCATTGAGATTATACAAAAAGGAGAATCAGTTATCAACAAAACAGTAATTTTGAATGATTTTTATGGCTAATAACTACCGCCGGTATTAGGCTTCGTTTGGGACGGATGGCTTACTGCTTCTTAAAACAGTTTTTTACTACTAAAATTTTAATTTTTGAACTAGAAAGTTATTTTAAGAAGCTGTAAAAAAGTCGTCTAAAATGAAGTCTAGTCTCAGGACTCTCAGAAAGGATCCAATTACAGACAAATCAATGAATTTCTACAAACGCAGGGACTTTTAACGTGTTCAAATCAGTGTACAGAAAAGTTTCCAGGAAAGATAAAGAAAAGTAATAAGGAAAAATGAATAGATTGAAGCTGCAAGATTCACCTTCAGTGCAACTGGAACAAGGTCAGCTTGTTTTTCTAAAATCTTCAACCATACACCTTTCTTTCCCTTCATTTCATATCATCACATATATTGAATCATTTAGTTGAGAAATATGTTGTTAAAGACAATTGATCAAATGAAGATATATATATAGAACCTCTAGCTTCCATGAAGAAAGTGAAGATTGAAGAATGGTTGTAAATGCATTTGCACTAAGAGGCAAGCTTTGGGAATCAATGACAACCCCATCATACTCATCCTCGTAGGCGTCAAGTAGTTCATTAGTTATTGTGATTGATGTATAGGGAGTGGCAACACTTATCTCTTTTCTGCAAGGTTTTTTCCCCGATGAAAGTAATGATTTGCTGTGTAAGCTGGAGGATTTTTGTTCCCCATTTGAAATTTCCATGCATGAAAACTTGAATGTGGAGCTTGTACAGTCTGTAAGAGATGGAAAGGTCGATCATATAAAGTTGTCAATGTCATTTATAGAATACTCAAACTTTGATGATCATCATTATGGATTCATTTCATTAATTTTATTATAAATTTATGTTTGATTGTCGATCAAACGTCAATGGTCAACATGTCTCAATTAGGATTGAGAGAAGCCAAAGGAGTTTTTCTTAAATATCTTGAAGAATGAAAATTGATGGAAAAATCAGTTAGTAAATAGCGTTCCCAGATAAAAAGAGACTAACAGAAAGTTTAGTAAATTAATGATGACAACAAATATATAGATGTTTTGTCCATGTTGAATAATACAGAAGCCATGCTTCCATGAATGAACCTTAGGTGCTTGAAAGCTTTCAACAACAATCAAGAATGCTATTAGAGATCTTTGAAAAGTTCAAGAAAGAGAGAGTGATTTATATTGCAGTGAAATAGGGAAGCAGGTAATGAAAAGATTTGAATGTGAAGCGAAAGAATCCATTTTATGACTTCCGAAATTAAATAATAAGTATTCAGAAAGCAAATTTTATAACTTTAGAACATATTAGTTGATAAAATATACTGAGTAAGAGAATATTGCATTCATTTGCTTACTTTTGTTAGAACTAATCTTTCCAGTAAAGTTTATTTCTGGCAAAGAAAATTGCAATCTCAATGATGCCATTAATCCTGTTTCCTTTTTTCTGAATTATGAACAGTTAGAAGCATAGGAATAGCAGCTACAAGAGGTTGGACAAATATATAGCTTCTAAATAGTTCCTAGTGGCCAAACATTATTGAAAAAGCATTGATCTTATACTTCTTTAAGAAGCTTTAAATGCTCACATTTTGTTAGGCAAGTAACCCAAAACATTTTTCTTCATCATCTAGGATTCCTATTTCCAACATCCACTTCTAAGGCTTCGTTTGGGACTACTTTCTTACTGCTTCTTAAAACAGTTTTTTAGTACAAAAATTAAAAGGAATTTTTATATACATAACATCTAAAACTATTAAAAATACATATTTAACACAAACTTCTATATTTACTAATATACCACCTAAAACCCCTCTTTTAATCAATTCTAACATTCCGTTTAAACCTTCCGTAAAAAATAACTATCAATGACTATCTTCCCCGTCAATGACATCCTTTCACAGTGAATACAAGTATCTCATCGCTTCAATGGAGTGTTAGAATAGAAGAAAAATGAAATTTTAGGTGGTATATTAGTAAATATAGAAGTTTAGATGTTAAATATGTAAATTAAAAGGGATTTTTACATACATCAGTAATTTTTATACTATAAAGTTGCTTCCAAAATCAGTTTGAAAGCAGTCCCAAATGAAAACTAATACTTATCAGCCTCATCATCATCATTACACCATAATTATTAGTACAATTAGCTTATCCCAACAATTTGGGGCCTTAACTCCACGCATCACTCGCAGTCACCATCCAACTTTCCAATGAATATTATATTTTCATCAACTCGACAGAAGGATAAGCCAAAGCTTCTACAGTGCTATGTAGAAAATGAGTTAACTTCTCCAAATATGTTGATTGCAACTGTATCAATGGACAACTTGATTTCATATTCTATTTATCCAGAATAATCGAAGCATCGAATCTGTTTCATCGAATCTGTTTCATCATGAAAAAAATTCTTATTCTCTTGCTTGGCATTCTATTGTGGATATGCTCAGCAATTCTATTATGTCATCTTGAACATAAAATTGGTTGAAAGGTCTTACAGGATTCTGCAACTTGAACAACAAACTATGGAATCCAGCAACTAGCTTTATTACAAACATAAACATTTCTATCTTAGATCTTGAATGCAAATATAGCAGTTTAGCTTTGTTAAAGATGTTTGAGAGTAATAAGTTTGCTTCATATAGGATAGTTCTAAATATGTTTTAAAATATTGGCGTTCAATTGTCACCATTTCGTCACCTCATCAGCTGTCATTTCTTGGTCGAGAACAACCCTCGTCATTACGGCGAATTATTACGTCCAGTCACCGGACGTCCAGACACCCAATCCAGACGTGCCACGTCACCCAAATTCACTTGATTCCGGTGTATTTTGGTGACGTGACGCGTCTGGATTGGTGTCCGGACGAATCCGGACACCAGACGTAATAATTTGCCCGTCATTACAACATAAATCAACTTATTTGATGTTCAATAAAATAAGCATGATGCTTTAAATATATATTATATTTTGTTCAATCTTTATCAATATTATTATAATTATTTTTACTACTTGATTTGCTAAAGAGATATTAAGTGAAAATTAGTTTTCTTACTTAGTTGATTGTTTACAAAATACGTCTTTATTTTCAATAAGAAGGAGATCAAGGGATTTTTCCCCGTTTTTCACTAGTCTCATAAAGATTGTATAAGTTTACCATGAAACGATTAATTAGATTGAGATTAACCATCCAACATAAAACTATGTACTAAAACTGTCACTACAAGAAAATCATCGATTACCGACTGAATTTTCCAACGGTTTTCCGATGATCAATTTTTCAAACCGCCGAAATACAATGAGATAATTTTCTGCCGGCAAGTTCAAGCCAATTTTAAATCCTTCAGAAATTTCCGGCGGATTTAAAATTTAACTATTTGTGTAATTGAGATTGTTTATACCTTACTTCTTCATGCCAATTTTCCTTATTCATTATGGGCCTCAACAACCCTCATTGCTACTTAACTCAAAAGTTGCATTCCAGCTCCTATCATTCAAAATAAGTCTTCATATCAACTTGTATATCAAAAATTCTTTCATATGATCATCTATGAGTCTTTAGTTGTCAATGATATCCACTTTGTCCCCTATATGTCAAACATAAGCTCTCACCTAATGCAATTCCTTACATTTTCCTTAGATACCCAGAACACTATAAAGGTTATTATTGTTTCAATTTAGTAAATGGAAAAACAATCATAGCTTGGCATGTTAAATTCAAAAAAAAGAAAAAGTTTTTTTTTTCCAAATTTCAGCATATACACTTCACATGACCTTTATTAACAAATACAAATTCCTCTAATAAATCATTCACCGTGTCTCCTCTATTACTAGTTCCTTATCCTACATTTCATTCTTCATCTTCTCCTATAAACCCAACATCTGACCATTCTCCCATAAGCACTCAAATTTCTTCTATACCATCTGTTGAGCACTCTACTTCTTCAAGTCCTTCAAACACCACTCCACCTCATTTATCTCAGTAACCTCATCCTATGCTTTCTAGAGCCAAAAACAGGCAATCGTAAGCCATGCACCATCTTTACTCTTCAACATTCCTTCTCATCAAATGCTTACCCCTCCTTTTACTCTGCTTCCATAAAATATGCACACTAGCGACGTGTTATATCTAAAGAGTTTCAAACTCTTATTACTCAAGGAATTTGGACTTTAGTTCCTTCTTCTTCCAATAAAAATGTGTTAGGGTGTAAATGACTATTCAAAACAAAATTACATAGTGATGGGTCTGTAGCTTGGTATCAAGATAGACTTGTTGCTCAAAAGTAACTGTCAATAATTTGACATTGATTTCACATATACATTTTCTCCGGTTGTAAAAATTCCCACTATTTGATTACTCTTATGTAGCGCTTTTATGTTTGAGTGGCCGATATACCAAATGGATGTATCCAATGTATCATTACACTGTGATCTATCGAGCCATGTTTATATGCACAAACCTTATTGATTTAAAAGTCCAAATTATCTGTTTATAAACATATTGTTGGTTCACTGTAATATGTTACTATTACAAGACCAGATTTGTCATTTGTTGTAAATAAGCTATGTCAATTTATGCACTCCCCTCAGTTGATTCATTTTCAACTACTAAAGGGTACTCTCATATAGCTTAAAGGGATGGTGGATTATGACTTACCAATAAATATAGGTTAGCTATAACTGACTGCATATGCAAATTTTGATTGGGCTGGTGATCCCATTGATAGAAATTCTACCACAGGTTACTGCATTTTTTTTGTACCACTTTGCTTTAATGGTCAGCCAAGAAACAAACTATTGTTGCTCATTCATCGACTGAGTCTGAATGCAGAGCCCTCTCATAAACTATTGTGGATATAATTTGGCTACGTCAGCTTATGTAAGAGTTCCAAGTTCCATTATAAACTCCCACCCCGCTGTACTATGACAATATTTCAGAATTATCGTTAGCTCAAAATCTCATTTTTCATGCTAGAACTAAGCTCATTGAAGTAGATCATCATTTTATTCATGACTGTATTAATCTTCAACTATTATGGTGCTTCATATATCTACTAACGATCAAATTGTATATATATATATATATATATATATATATATATATATATATACAATTTGATCGTTAGTAGATATATGAAGCACCATAATAGTTGAAGATTAATACAGTCATGAATAAAATGATGATCTACTTCAATGAGCTTAGTTCTAGCATGAAAAATGAGATTTTGAGCTAACGATAATTCTGAAATATTGTCATAGTACAGCGGGGTGGGAGTTTATAATGGAACTTGGAACTCTTACATAAGCTGACGTAGCCAAATTATATCCACAATAGTTTATGAGAGGGCTCTGCATTCAGACTCAGTAGATGAATGAGCAACAATAGTTTGTTTCTTGGCTGACCATTAAAGCAAAGTGGTACAAAAAAAATGCAGTAACCTGTGGTAGAATTCCTATCAATGGGATCATCAGCCCAATCAAAATTTGCATATGCAGTCAGTTATAGCTAACCTATATTTATTGGTAAGTCATAATCCACCATCCCTTTAAGCTATATGAGAGTACCCTTTAGTAGTTGAAAATGAATCAACTGAGGGGAGTGCATAAATTGACATAGCTTATTTACAACAAATGACAAATCTGGTCTTGTAATAGTAACATATTACAGTGAACCAACAATATGTTTATAAACAGATAATTTGGACTTTTAAATCAATAAGGTTTGTGCATATAAACATGGCTCGATAGATCACAGTGTAATGATACATTGGATACATCCATTTGGTATATCGGCCACTCAAACATAAAAGCGCTACATAAGAGTAATCAAATAGTGGGAATTTTTACAACCGGAGAAAATGTATATGTGAAATCAATGTCAAATTATTGACAGTTACTTTTGAGCAACAAGTCTATCTTGATACCAAGCTACAGACCCATCACTATGTAATTTTGTTTTGAATAGTCATTTACACCCTAACACATTTTTATTGGAAGAAGAAGGAACTAAAGTCCAAATTCCTTGAGTAATAAGAGTTTGAAACTCTTTAGATATAACACGTCGCTAGTGTGCATATTTTATGGCAGCAGAGTAAAAGGAGGGGTAAGCATTTGATGAGAAGGAATGTTGAAGAGTAAAGATGGTGCATGGCTTACGATTGCCTGTTTTTGGCTCTAGAAAGCATAGGATGAGGTTACTGAGATAAATGACGTGGAGTGGTGTTTGAAGGACTTGAAGAAGTAGAGTGCTCAACAGATGGTATAGAAGAAATTTGAGTGCTTATGGGAGAATGGTCAGATGTTGGGTTTATAGGAGAAGATGAAGAATGAAATGTAGGATAAGGAACTAGTAATAGAGGAGACACGGTGAATGATTTATTAGAGGAATTTGTATTTGTTAATAAAGGTCATGTGAAGTGTATATGCTGAAATTTGGAAAAAAAAAACTTTTTCTTTTTTTTGAATTTAACATGCCAAGCTATGATTGTTTTTC